TTGGGTGGCTGAATCAGGTTGGTTAGATTTTTTTTTTTTGCTACCTTTGTACATATATGTTATATGAAATGCTAGATTTATTTATATGATGATTAGAGGCGCTTGTTTCCTACGTGTTGAAGTTTTTACAGTTATATTTTATGTCTTTAAAAAGTTTTAGAAGTTATTGTTTATTTGCCTGTCCGATTTCCTTTCCCGCCTCGTCTATATGAGCTAATCGGGCCAGGTCGGGACAAAGAGTACAAAAAATATATACATTTCTTCAATTTATCAAAAATCTTATAAGGCTAGAAGCTCCATGAGAAATAATTTTTTCTAATCTAGTTACTCTAGCTAGGGGAAAATATCTCAAATGATATCTCAAAGTACATAAAGGACTTAGTTTCTTATGGGATAGAAGTTCACAAATTAGAATTATTCTTACATAAAGATTGAGCATTCATTACTTTTGACCAATGTATAATACCCAAAGGAAACGAAAGTGAAATCATACCTCTGCTCTGTTGAATCCCGAATATCCCGCTCTGTACCTCGTATCCGTCAAAATCTCACTCAAATCCCGGCTATCCCGCTACATTCCCGCAAATCCTGCGACATTACCTCCATCCTACCACACGATCGTCATTAAATACTAGAACAAATGGAGCCTTCGACTGCTGCTCTCTCCCACGACTTTCTCTGGCTCATTCCTCCCCACTCGATCGAAGCTCCCATCGCTACTCTTCTTCTTCCACGCACACGACCCCGGCCTCTTCCTCCCTACCCTGCATCCAAGCTCCACCCGACCTCTCATTTTCTTCGATCCACACAGAGAGAGATTGGTCGAACTCCCCTTCAAAGCCAAGCTCCTCTCCACCCAAATCGACCGACTCCTAAAGCCGAACCAGGGCCGCCGCCAAACTCTGCCCTAGCTCCTATTTTTTGATTCCTTACCAACCAAAGCAGCTGAACACTTGTAAGCCCATATACATCCAAATCTCCCACTGAAACCGACACCTTCCACCCTCATTTAGCCCAGGCCGCAAACAACCGGGTGAGATTAAGTTGGTATTAATGTTAATGGTGTTAGTTAGTATTAGTAGTGTTATTATTATTATTAGTTACTAAAATTATTATTTATATATATAATGATTTTTACTATTAATATTATTATTAACTAATGTTATTAATTACTGTTATTTTCTTTTATATATATTATTATTAACATATGTGTGTGTGTGTGTTTTTTTTTTAAAGAGAATAAGAAAATGCAAAAAAGAAAAGATTTTATGTACATTTTTACATTTTCGTCGCTGGTCGCCCAAGGTATAATTTTTTTTTAAACTTAACTCCACTCTCGACGTTAGCAACGAGCCGGCAAACCCCGTACACGCTCACGTAGCGTTGTAGGGAGGGAAATCGGCTCGACACTTGCGACGACCTAAAAATCCTTCTTCAATGATAGCGACGAGCTGGTAAACCCCCTACGCGCTCACCTAGCGTAGTAGGGAGGTAAATCGGTGCAACATTTGCGGTGAGGGGGATAAAAAAATAATAATAAGTACCTCCAAACGCTCATGTAGTGCAGAGGGGGGAAAGAAATTGTGCTCTTTAATAATGAACCTAAAAACCCTTAAACACTCATGTAGTGAGCGGAGATATAAAAAAAATATGTGTAACCGCGGTGTTATTTGACACCTACCTTAAGCGCTTATGTAGCGTCGAGGGGAAGGTTGTCTCTTGATTTTTCTCCTAAACGGAGAAGACGCCGGGAGGCTTCAGGAATTTGAACTGAATATTCAAGGACTTGGACATTAACGTACTAAGTGCAAACTTGAACAAAAGACTTAAAATCAAACTTAAGCAAGAAGAGTTTGAATTCAAAGAATTGAGCACTTGAACTAGTTTTTAATCAAATGAGAACTTGAACTTAGACAATTTAAACTCAAGAAAGACTTGAGTTGGACAACAGGGGACTGATGAACGGAAGAGGTTCATTTTGATTCTGAACTTTATTTGAACTTGTTTTCAGACTTGAACTTGAACCCAAGTTGGGTGACATGAAACATAATTTAAACAAATTTTTTTGATAAAGTGACAACATGTAAATAAGGGCTAAGTGTCAAAAAAATAATAAAAAAATAATAGTGCAATGAAATGTCTATGATCAATAATGCAAAATCTTCTTTGAAAGTCTAGATATTGTCACTTTAATTGGGTGACTACAGTAATGTCAAGCCCACTATATATGTTGCAATCCATTTTGTAAGTATAATTTGACTTTTAAATAACAAGGATCATGAGGAATATAGCTTAATCATAAAGCTATAGTGCAAGAGGGTGCCTTGGATCATAATAATCTACTTGCAAAGGTGGACATGATACATCCCTAAGTAATAATTGAGAGGTATTGTGAGGGATGTGGTGATCTACTTATGAGTTACAATGCAACATCTTCAATGAACATTAAGAAATTGTCATCTCAATTGAAGTATGAATGCCATCAACAATCAAAAGATTGGTGATAAAAAATTTTGGCATACCACTTGCTTGAGACAAGTAATGGATGTTATAAAGAACCTATGTTGAACCTTGGGCTTGTATGATTTGTTGTTTTACTCACAAGCAACAACAATAAATATACCTACAATGTGATAGAGCTTCTAAATACGAGGGAGAAGATTATGGCAAATGCAAATGCTTGTTAAATAATGATGAAAGATTCATCACATATATAATGATGCTCCCGCGGGTGATTATCAACGACAAGCAATAAAAGCTACAACTTCTTTATAGTCAATAACCACGTAATAGAAGTTAATGCATTGGCCCATCGCAATTACAGGTGAAACACCTTCAGCAAATGTAAAGCACCTACAAGTTGTTGTAACAGGAATGTTGTGGTACCTCTATAATCATCCAATAGTGACAAAATACATCAATCATTTACAAACAAGAGCGGATGATATGCTACAGACGCGATCTCCTACGAGTTACGGTAAGAAACCCGACTATGTACCCAATGGGTGGTCTACAAGAAAAATATAGAAGCATCGCGACAAATCCAAGTTCCTACGAGCTGTCGTAGAAGACCTGTCAAATTTCTAAAATACCGCTGCACTTGCATCATAATTTGTATACACATAGGTACACAAAAAGGGGAGGGGTATGCAATTACTAAACCGGTATGGGCCCCGACGAGCGCGTTATTAGTATACACATGACATCTCGGGATGTTGCTCGGGTCAATAAATTCGAACTCGATCCTCTTAAGTAATAGGAGTCGACAAGGTTCAACAAATAATTATAAAATGTCCTCAAACACCCGCATGGGCCCCGGTGAGCGTGTTATAAGTATACACATGACATATAGGGATGCTGCACTGGTTAATAAGTGAATTCAGGTTTGAACCTGATCCTTCTATGCAGATCAATAGGAGTTGAAAGCGTTCAAACCATCAAATAAATATATATTTGTCATCAAATAAATATACGGTTGTGGTGACCGATATATTTATATTAATATATTCATATTAGGCCTTCAAAGCCTACAATCAAGTGAATACACTAATAAAAGCATAAAACATATGAAACTTGATCCTCTGCCGACAACCAGACAGAGTCAACAAGGTTCAATCCAGAAATGGAACTGACCCCAAAACACTCTGATGATGACCGTGTCGAATGAAAATCTCAACAAAAGGTTTTCATAAATAATTTCAAATGCCTTCCAAATTTGACCTCTAGATATAAGTCTTCAACTTTAATATAATCCCCATTAAAGAGTCCAATCCTTACCTCCTTTGATATCAAATTTTAAAATCTAAAATAAATTTTTTTACTACTATTTTAATAGTGAGTATTCATAGGAAATTTTAATTTCCTACGATGTAATTAACTATGATGGCTTACACTCGTAGGAGATTTACAACCCCAAATCAAACAAAATTTTCAAAAATCAAACTTTTAAATACTTCAAATAATTATCTTTGGGAAAATCAAACCTGACAATTAATATCATCATTTTGAAACGATCGATAGTGATTGATATCTTCTTTCTTTGGGAAGATAAATTAATTACTTTCATATTTTTTATTATAAAATTAATGATCTCTTTATCCAGATTTACATAGTAAAAAAACTTGATCAAATTTCATTTTGACCCTCCGGGGTCATATGTAATTCTTCATTGAGTTTTGACTATGATAATCAGGATAAATTCAAAGTTAGTAATATGAACCCATTAAGGAACAATATATTCACCTTCTGATGCAATATATTACTCATAATGATGCTCTTAATTTTAAAATTAAAAATTTCAAAAATTAAATTTGCTCAAAGAAATTAATTTTTTTTTCAAAACTCAAACAATACTTTTTCAATCAAATAG